AAATGCCATTAGTTGATTTCTCTAGCTAACAAAGAAAATGTTCAAGAGTTGGTACCAACCTCTTGGTGATTATGTCTTTAGAATCAGAGTACATTCTTTGTAAGAAATCTTTGGCCGGGCACAGTGGCTCATGCCTGTAACCCCAGCCCTTTGGGAGGCTGAGGCAGGCAGATCATGAGGTCAGGAGTTCGAGACCAGCCTGACCAACATGGGGAAACCCTGTCTCTACTAAAAATATAAAAATTAGCCAGGCGTGGTGGTGCACGCACATAATCCCAGCTACTCAGGAGTCTGAGGCAAGAGAATCACTTGAACCCACTAGGCAGAGGTTGAAGTGAGCTGAGATTGCGCCATTGCACTCCAGCCTGGGCAACAGAGCAAGAATTGGTGTCAAAAAAAGATAAAAATTCTCACATCTTATCCTCAGCTGAACCAGCAGCTCTTCACTACTCAGCAATTAATTTGCCCTAGGTGAAACCGATTCCTATTCTAATTTCACATTGGAATTCGGTTCATTGTTTACATTGATTAAAAAGTGGAAGCATGATTTATATCTTTACCTGGTTCCTTAAATAATATTTACTAGCTCAGGGTTTAGAACTGGTTACACTTTCAGATCAGATAAAAAAAACATTACTGGATATACTCTACGGTGGACTTTGAGCTGATTTAAACAATGCTACAGTTCTAGATACTGATATTAGTTGGTTGGCTTCCTACGCACAAGCACTCCTCAGTTACTTACAGAACTGAATTAAAACCTTCGTATATGCTGGAGGCTACTGCTTACCCTTATTATCTAAGCCTGACTTGCCTTCTCACCTACAGTCTCCCAACTTTAACCATGGTATTTCCACATGGGCTAGATTTTTTTTTTTTTTTTTTTTTTTGTCAAAAGCAGGCAAGCAAGAAGTAGAAGTGAAGAAGAATTGGATGGTCTTGACAATTTCCTTGCTTCACTATGTATCTCCTTAAGCTTCAAATTACAGGCTGTTGAGAAAGCCACAAAAGTAGACAGTGCCAAGGCACTAAGACTAGAGTATGTGAGAGTGCACCATTCATTTATTCAACAAATACTTACTGAGCACCTACTGTGGGCCAGGTACTAACTAGGTACTAACATTACAGTGAACATGGAAAACAAAGACCCTAACTTTACAAGACATTCAGTGAGGAAGACACATTAAAAACAACAAACAGATACATTTATAGTAAGAAAAATAAAGCAGGGTCAGGGACAGAAAGTAGCAGAGACTGATATTTTAGACATAGTGGCCAGGGAAGGCTTCTTTAGGGGGGTAATACTTAAGCAGAAATTGAATGAAGTGAGAAAGATACCTGGAAACTCCAGGCAAAGGAAACAGTGAATGCAAAAGTCCCAGCCTGGGAACATGCTTAGAGTGCTCAGTAGTGTACAGCAAGGAAGTCACTCTGGCTGGAACTCACTAAGTGGAAGAATCCTACAAAAAGAGGTTGAAGATGTAGTCAGGGGCCAGGGCCTTTAGGACTTGTGGAATATGTGGGCTTTGAATTTTATTCTAACATGAGAGGAGGCTGTTGGAAAGTTTTGAGCAGTGAACTGACATGATCAGGGTACCTTCAGACACCAACAGCTAGATGGAGAACAAGCTACAGCAAAGTGTTATCAGAGTCCAATCGTGAAAGAGAAACTATCTAGTTATTTCATGTAGAGGGAATTTTAAGAGTAATAGGTGTCAAAAAGAATAATGGGGTGACACCGTAGATTAAAAAGCTGCTAAAAATACCCTTAGCTGGAACCCATGGAACTGCACCAGCTTCTGTGCCATTTGGAGACACTATCACTTTCAACCTCTGTCTAGTAGAGAAGTGCCACCTTGACCATGGAAGGAACTGCTAGAGTAAGGAATAATCCCTTCCCCACTTTCCCTATAGAAATGGCCAGCAACTGCCACACCATTGAATCCAGAAGCAGTAAGTTACTTTCCTCCTCCTGCCTTCTGATTTCCTGGTAGTGGCTCCTACTGGTAGAACTTTATCAGAAGCCAGCTGGCATGAGAGCTTTGGCAATGGGGTTCATACACTAGGCCGCTGCAGTAGGGCATAAAGGGGCAAGTGTAGAACTAGGAAGTAACAATCTATAGGGTCAAGAGTAGAAGCAGGGGGCCGGAGAGGTGGCTCACATCTGTAATCCCAGTACTTTGGGAGGCCAAGGGAGGGGGAATTGCTTGAACCCAGGAGTTTGAGACCAGCCTGGGCAACATAGCAAGACTCCATCTCTACAAAAAAAAATATTTAGTCAGGTGTGGTGGCACAGACCTGTAGTCCCAGCTACTTGGGAGGCTGAGGTAGGAGCATCACTTGAGCCTGGGAGCTGGAGGCTGCAGTCGGCCATGATCATGGCCACTGTACTCCAGCCTGGGTGACAAGAGTGAGACCTTGTCTCAAAAAAAAAAAAAACAAAAAAAGAAAAAAAGAGTAGAAGCAGGGAAACCATCAGGATGCCAGCCCTGTTTTTTTTTTTTTTTTTTCCTTTTTTTTTCCTCAGCTGTGATAAGTTAGCCAATTCAAAGGCCTTGTTCTCCATAATTTCAACTTTCCTTCAGATTTGACCAAGTCAGGCAGAGCTGGTCAAACCCAAAACAACAACAGAAACAAATAAAGAAGCAAAAGAAACGATCGCACAATTTATATTACTGAGCGCTCTAATGGTAAGGAGAAATGAAGACCAGCTGGTTGTTAACTTTAGTCACTAAGGAGAGTTTCCAAGACAAAACTCCAATTCAGCTACTTACCTAGGAATAGGACCCAGGGTCAAGACTGTTCTTTACCATTTTAGGAGGAAAAAAAACTCAGACTCACCTTCACTGCTGGAAGCCAGATGAAATTCCAGAAAGAAGTTGCCTGCTCTCCATCATCATAGAAGTAGGAAAACTTGCCTTCCTTGTTTGGAGTAAGTAAAACTGCAGAAGAGTGTACAGCAAAATAAACGTTAGATCTCAACCAAACTTTGGGAGATCAGGGATTCTCTGGAGTGGAGAACTCCCAGACCTCAGCAAATTGTCCTGTTTGAGCAATAAAGACAGCCCAAGCTGGTACCAAGCACTGATAGATTTGTCAAAGGTCAGGGCCACCTCCACTCAGAGTCGCTTCCTTTGGCTGCCAGTTTGTAAAACAAAACTAGCTCTCAATCAATTTGGAAGTTTATTTTATCAAGGTTAAGGACATGCTTGGCGGGGAGGTCTGTGCCTTTATAGATGATTTTGAGGGCTTCAATATTTCAAAGGTAAGAGCAGCCTGGAGGGAAAAGAGGAAGAACATAGTCATTACTGAATCCACACATTGCACAAATAGAAAAGGAACAGGCAGGGGAATGGTCAGGTATGTATTTGCCTCCTACTCAGTAAATAAGCACTTCACTAAGATAAACTGAGGACAGAGCAGCTGCCTGTGGGGACATATAACCTTTTATCTGTAGCTATCTGATTAGGAACATTAGAGAGAGGCAGTTTCTTTCATGACTCAGCTTTCCGCTTGTTTTTTAGCTTTTGGCATAGTGAATTGGAGTATCACGGTTTTTGTTGTTTTGTATATAAGTAGAGAGTTCATTTGGGCCAGGGCCATGAGTTTTTATTTTCCTTTCACAAATATGCCATTTGGAGTTTAGAGGAAAGGCTGGCATCAGAGCTTTCTGTGAGCACTATCCATGGGATTACATGAGGGAGTGACTGTGGAAGAGAAGAGGACCCCGGACTAAGCCCTGGGCACCTGAACACCTAAAGGGTCAGGAAGAGAAAAATCCAGCAAAGGAATACCCAGAGAACCGGCCAGTGAGCTAAAAACAAAAGTGCAGAAGAGTGCAGGGAAATGCAGAAAAAAAGAAAGCTTTCCACAAGACAGGACCGATCAGCTGAGCCACCTGCTGCTGAATGGAGTGATGAGCACTGAGGTCTTCCGCCCGAAAGGCAGTAAGGCAGAGGGGGAACCTGAGGGCCGCGGGCTCTCTCTTGGGAGCGGAAACTCGGAAGGGTGGGCAGCGGGGCAAATGCAGGGGGCAGAAGCTCAGAGTAAAGGACGTGCGAAGACGATGCTTGTGCACGACGGAAATGACCGCTGTCCGGGCTCCGCGGGAGATGAACCCGGGCTTCCCGCTCTCGGGGACCAGCCCTCCAGGGACCTGGGACGGTCAGTGCCGGTCAAGCAGAGGATGCTCCTAGCTGAAGGAAGGAGCCGGGGACAGGGAGGTGGGGTGGGGAGCGGGCGGGCCCTGCAGCTGTGGGGCCTCGGGGGCGGGGGCCGGGGAGGCGCGGGGGCCGGGGAGGCGCTGGGCCCGGGCGCCCACTCCCCATTGACCCGCGGGGCCGGCCGGGACACGCCCAGCGCGTTTGGCAGCGCCAGGCCTCCGACTTTGTCCATCTGGCCACGTTTGAAGAGCCACAAAACGGAGGAGGAAACCCCTCAGAGCGTCGCGGTGCGGAGACTGCTCTCCGTCGCCGCCGGGCGCTTCCGGCCGAGCCCACTGCCACCCGCGCGCCCCCCGTCGGCTCCTCCAGGATTCCTCTCCGCTCTTACTGGAGCCGCCTCGGGGCGCTCCCAGCAGGACGGCAAATACCCATCCTCCATCCCTAACCCAGACGCCTACTGGCCCGTGACCGCACTCCGCTCCTTGACTGCGCGCTCCACACCACAACCCAGGCCGCGGCCGGAGCCCAGGGAGTGGGCGGGGTCCGCGTGAGCGGGGCCGGCGTCCGGCCAGCGGCTGTCACGTGGGCCTCCCGGGCCAATAGGCGCGCGGCTTTGGGTCGAGCTCAGTCAGCCCCACGGCGACTGGGCCTGGCAGACTGACTAGGCGGATGCGGAGGCCGCGACTAAGCGGCCGAGCCTTAGGCGAGTGAGGTACGGCTGCGGGTCGCCGGTGGGGACGCCCCGGAGGGAGGCGGAGGGCGGGGAGGCGAGGCCCGCCCTTGCATGCATCCCGCCTCTCACGCACCGGCGCCCCGCGACTGTGCAGTTCTCTGCAGGACCGGGCCATGGAGCGCGAAGTCCAGCGAGTCCGCCAGGCGTTCCTGTCCGGCCGGTCGCGACCCTTGCGGTTCCGGCTGCAGCAGCTGGAGGCCCTGCGGAGGATGGTGCAGGAGCGCGAGAAGGACATCCTCGCGGCCATCTGCTCCGATCTGTGCAAGGTAACGCACCCGTGCGGCGGGGCGCGGGGAAGCTGGTCCCCGCCGCGCACTTGTGGACCGGAGCTTCTGCTGGGTTTTCTTTCTGCTTTTACATTTCGGATTACTCCAGCGCTGGGAGTATGATTTCCAGCAATACAGATAAAGCCAAAGTTCCGCCGACTTTCCCGGTCCTCCAGCAGTCGGAAGGGTATATGTTACCTGGCCTCTATGGTTTCTTTTCTGCCTTTTCTGTTCTTGTCTATTTTTCTGTTCCATTTGTGTTTTTTTTTTCTTATGATTTATAGAAAGTCTTTGTATATTGTAGATTTCAGTAATTTGTCACTTTACTGTGTTGCAGATACTTTCTTTAGGTTTCTTTTTGTTTCTTTCTTTCTTTGCCAGTCAAATTTAGCAGTGGGAGAGTTGTATACCAAATTTAGTGACGGTAATGTTAATAAGTTCCGATAACCCATTCCCATCAGACCAGCCTCTGGGTCTATTTCTTGTCTTTTAGCTTTGCTTATGGTTTCTTTTCTAGACAGAGGTTTTGTTTTTAAGTTATAGTTACACTCAAATTTTTCTTCATAACTTTTTGCACTGTTAGATCAGTTCTCAAACTTTAATGCACTGGCCGTCACCTGGGATCTTGTTCACATGCAAATTATGGTTCAGTTTCAGGGATTACAAATTTCTAACTAGGTCCCCAGTGATATGCCTCTTTTGGAAGCATACTTTGTGTAGCAAAGCTATTGTTTTGATTTTTGTGTGTTTCTTTGTTTTGTGACAGTCTGGCTCTGTTTTCCGGGTCAGAGTGCAGTGGTGCGATCTTGGCTTACTGCACCCTCTGCCTCCCGGGTTTAAGTAATTCTCTTGCCTCAGCCTCCTGAGTAGCTGGGATTACAGGCGTGCACTACCACGCCCGGCTAATTTTTGTATTTTTAGTAGAAATGGAGTTTCACCATGTTGACCAGGCTGGTCCCGAACTCCTGGCCTCAAGTGATCCACCCACCTAGGCCTCCCAAAGTGGTGGGATTACTGGTGTGAGCCTCCACCCCTGGCTTGTGGTAGCCAAGTTTTAAGTAGTGTTTTAGGGTGGAAGTATATTCCTCTAAGTTTTCTGATAATATTGTTACCTTTTTTTTTTCTTTAAGTGGCAGGGTCTCCCTTTGTTGCCCAGGCTGAAGTGCAGTGACTCAATCATAGCTCACTGCAGCCTGCATCTCCTGGGCTCAAGCAATCCCCCCACCCAGACTCCCAGATACTGGGACTACTGGCATGAGGCTGTCTTTTTATCTGCATTACAGGTGTCGCAAGGCTTTGCTCTGGGTTTGTGATTTTCCCTTCCCCACAATCCCCTCAATCAAAGATTATTATTATTATTATTATTATTATTTTTTTTTTGAGACGGAGTTTCGCTCTTGTTACCCAGGCTGGAGTGCAATGGCCCAATCTCAGCTCACTGCAACCTCCGCCTCCTGGGTTCAGGCAATTCTCCTGCCTCAGCCTCCTGAGTAGCTGGGATTACAGGCGCGCGCCACCATGCCCAGCTAATTTTTTGTATTTTTAGTAGAGACGGGGTGTCACCATGTTGGCCAGGATGGTCTCAATCTCTTGACCTCGTGATCCACCCGCCTCGGCCTCCCAAAGTGCTGGGATTACAGGCTTGAGCCACCGCGCCTGGCCAAAGATTATTTTAAGAAGTAGTAGCAGACGTAGCACTACTAGTAACTATAAAATTTCTTTTTAGAGTACTTTTGGTGGATAGGGGCTATGCTATTAAATAAACAAGATGGGATAATTACGATTCCAAAAAGTCTGTGTCATTTAATCATTCTTCAAAACTAAATGTTTGTGTGAGTATGTGTATGTATATATGGGATGAGTCAAGAAATACAATAAGTTTCCTATCCTTGAGAGTTTTAAACTTGGTTGGGAAACAGAACGTACACAGGTAAAATGTCAGTAATAGTTATAAACCAGTGTTTTAAGGGTGAACTATTAAGATGCAGGTCAAAAGCATAATTGCTGTGATATATAAAGTGTGATCAGAGCAGACCTTTATTACTCAAGGAAGTCTTTCTGAAAGAGGTAATATTTAAGCCTGGCTTTTAAAGGGTGTGGATTAGTAAAGAAGGATTTACTGGTAGTATTACTACTGCTAGTGTTACTACTCCCTGAAATAATCTTTGATTTTTTAAAAAATATATCAGGGAGAGAATTAGTAAGCTTTGTCAAGGGCATGAAGGGTGCGAAAGGAATCTGGATGGCAAACCAGCTAGTCTGATAATGCCAGTTGTCACTGCAGGTGTACCTGGCCTGAGTGTTTTGACATTCAGGGCCAAGTATATCATACTCTGCAAGATTAACTGTGATTCTCTTACAACAGAGCGAATTCAATGCATACAGTCAGGAAGTCATTTCTGTCCTTGGGGAAATTGATTTTATGCTTGAAAATCTTCCTGAATGGGTTACTGCTAAACCAGTTAAGAAGAACCTGCTCACCATGCTGGATGAGGCCTATCTCCAGCCACAGCCTCTAGGAGTGGTGCTGATAATTGGAGCTTGGAACTACCCCTTTCTTCTCATCATTCAGCCACTGATAGGAGCCATTGCTGCAGGTCTGGTGCCAGCTTATGTCTATATACCTTTTTAGGGAGGCTTATTTTCTCATATTCGTTGTAAATTAAGGATAGTGACTAAATACATTTACTTTGGTCATTGCCTTTGTTTACACCACCAGTGTATTGAGAATTCGTACATATCATACATATTTTTAAATGGGCTGCTAAGGAGATTTGTGTGGCTATTTTTTGAAGCACGTGGGGAGTGAACCTGTGAGAGTATAAAGGCATCTGGATCAACAGGCCCAGCAGTTTGGAGTCAGGCATCCATATCTAATGTGGTTTCAGTTGCTGGCTCTGGCTTTGGATGACCCATTTGATTCTGTCTGACCTGTTTCTTCATTCAGATAAAGACTATGAGAGTAATGTTAGTTTGGGTATACAGCAAATGCCAGGAGATTAATTTCTCACTTTGCAGGATCCAGATAGAGAGCTGTATGTTGAAATGGCTCATTTGCCCAATAATTCCAGGGCAGAGAGGAACAGCTAAGGGGAAGATGGGAGAAAAGTGATAGAAAGCTGGAGGAGTGGGAAAGGCTGATGGGACCCATTGTCAGTGACCTGAAGATGATGACAGCTAAGGAGTTAAGCCTTGGAAGAGAAAGTGAGATGAGCTCTTATGTTCATTATGAGGATGTGCAGCATTGAGAGCTGCAGAAATAACTGGGAGCACCTAGCCTGTACTTCCTACTGAACACCATTTTGGTAGGTATTAAAGTTAAGTCTTAGATGATACTGTTCTACTTTTTACTTTGTTTAGGAAATGCTGTGATTATCAAGCCTTCTGAACTGAGTGAAAATACAGCCACGATCTTGGCTAAGCTTCTGCCTCAGTATTTAGACCAGGTAAGAATCTCTTGAACCATCTTCAACATATGTGTTTGTTGTGGAAAACACACATTGGATTTTCTTGCTATTACATGTCATTGCTGGCCAGGGACCCAATTGCAATTTCCTTAAGCCTTCAACAATTGGCTTAGTAAAAGGAGTTAAGTTCCAAAATAAACTGTGGACTCACCCAGCTGTTAGGGTTATATAATATATGTAGGCCCATGTCTTCACGGGTATGTACTACTGCTATTGACAGATTATCTGTTTGATATTTTGGATTAATCCTTGTTTGAGCTAACATGATTTTAGGTGTTTTCATTTAATGGATTATTTAACAAGGGACTGGTACTGTACTGGGTGCTAGCATATTTCTGTTACTAACAATCTCTTTTGTTCTAACAAAATGTAATTTTCTATGGTTATGTAAGAGTACTTTTTTTTTTTTTGAGGTGGAATCTTGCTCTGTCACCGAGGCTGTAGTGCTGTGGTGCGATCTCAGCTCACTGTAACCTCCACCTCCTGGGTTCAAGCAATTCTCCTGCCTCAGCCTCCCAAGTAGGTGGGACTACAGACATGTGCCACCAAGCCTGGCTAGTTTTTGTATTTTTGGTAGAGACACAGTTTTACCATGTTGGCCAGGCCGGTCCTGAGCTCCTGACCTCAGGTGATCTACCCACCTTGGCCTCCCAAAGTGCTGGCATTACAGGTGTGAGCCACCACGCCCAGCCTATAAGAGTAGTTCTGCTTTCAAAAAGACATGTCTGTGGCAGGAAAACATGCCCCCCACACACAAAAAAGTGCCCTCCTGAACTAGAGGGTGGATCCTCATGCTGACTTAACATGCTGGCATTTAAGAATATCAAGAACTGAATAAAGAAAATGATCTGCTCAATTGCAGGGTAGTTCATCTGTCTGAGTCACAGGTTCTTATGGCCTCCTAGGGAGGAAGTTATGACGCCACTGTGAAATTGGCACTGCTGAGTTTTACATGCAGTTGCTGCAGGGAGGAGTCTTCATTTGGCTTTCATTGAAAGACAAAACTATCTTACCTGTGTTCGGTTTGTCAGTGTGTAACGGCCATGAGGCCAGTTCTTGTTCTTGGAATGATACAGTTTTCTTTGTTGTCTTATCACTGTTCCAGCAGCCCACAGAATTATTTTGTTCAAATAGCTGTGATGATCCAATCAAGACAGGTGAAATGGCAGACAGTGAGAAAGGATTGAATAGGACTTAGAACCAGAAGATAGAGGTTGAAGGTCCTGCTTTGCCCCAGACCGGGGGTAAATTCTTCAATAGCTGACTCTGTCCAGATGAGGATAATAATGCCCTACCAGCTTCAGTTAACTTGTTAGGGGATCAATAATATATGCCATGTAAATTAAGCCATATAAAAGTTAGAGCTTGAAACAGTTGTTGGGCAGCTGAACTCTGAAGTGAATGAAACTAGCCTTGCAGAGCAGGAGATCAAGTGGGAACATGAGGTCCACAAGCCAGCTTCTACTTCACACTTAGACCTTAGAGTCTTGAATACCTCTCTGTCTTTTTTGTTTGCCATCTGTTCTCTTACTTTTCATGCTGTTATTGTTGCAGTGCATAGATGGGCTCAGTCCACAGAAGCTGCCTGAATTCTCCCAGTAACAGATGAGGAAATTGAGGCTCAGGGATGTTCAGTAGCTTGCCTAAGGTCACATAAGCTAGTGAGTGACAGAGCCCAGATTCAAACCAGATATGCTTCAAAAGCAAGTGCTCTCAGATACTGTGGTGTGTATCCACCATTCATTCAGGGTAGCATGGGGTAAGCCCACTCTGTGTCGTGAGACAGAGAACATTCAGACTAAGACATGCAGCTGGGACTTGTCCTGTGGGAGCCACTCTTCACCAGAGTCACTTCTGCACACACCCCCATCTCATGCATTTTCCCTGGTCAAATTCAACCATTTGTTCTCCTTAGTGCCTTCGTTGCGGAGCTCACGTAGGTTGGTTCTATGTGGGTTCATGCTTCCCAGATGCCAGCCAACGGTGTGTTCTTCTCTGGTCCTTGGTCAGCTCCCTCTCCCATCCCTCACAGGAACTGGTCTTGACACTCACTGGATTTCACTGAATGTTACATGTTTATGTTGAAGAGATTGCCGATGTTGGACGTTAGGATTAATTTGGCAGTGCAAGAGTTTGTGTTTCTCTTTCTTTGAGGACCTCTATATTGTTATTAATGGTGGTGTTGAGGAAACCACGGAGCTCCTGAAGCAGCGATTTGACCACATTCTCTATACGGGAAACACTACAGTTGGGAAAATTGTCATGGAAGCTGCTGCCAAGCATCTGACCCCTGTGACTCTTGAACTGGGAGGGAAAAGTCCATGTTATATTGATAAAGATTGTGACCTGGACATTGTTTGCAGGTGAGTCTAGCTCTCTGATTTTCCGAGGTTTTCCCAGCACAGTGGAGACTTTTCCTGACAGTGTTACTCTTTGCACTTGAACTCCATACCTTACGGCTTGAAGATATATCATTAAGCTTTGGTGGTTGATGTCCTCGAGATTAACAGGAGTCTTTCACAGTATCTTGGCGCCACTGTCAAAAATGGTGAGCTGTAAGTCCTGACATCATGTGGTTGTCCTTAGGAATTTCGAAAAAGTTATTTCTGTTCTCAAGATAACAGCTAGATATAGCAAGAAATTTTAATGTTCTTCTGGCCAGTGATCCATGAAGTACATAATCCAAAGTATTGTTGTATGCCTAATAAAATCTTTATTTTTTTATTATTGCATTTTAGGTTTGGGGATACATGTGGAGAACATGCAAGATTGTTGCATAGGTACACACATGGCAGTGTGGTTTGCTGCCTTCCTCCCCATCACCTATATCTGGCATTTCTCCCCATGCTATCTCTCCCAACTCCCACCCCCTGCTGTCTCTCCCTTAGTTCCCCCCAACAGACTCCAGTGTGTGATGCTACCCTCCCGGTGTCCATGTGTTCTCATTGTTCAACACCCACCTATGAGTGAGAACATGCTGTGTTTGATTTTCTGTTCTGTGTCAGTTTGTTGAGAATAATGATTTCCAGGTTCATCCATGTCCCTACAAAGGACATGAACTCATCGTTTTTTATGACTGCCTAGTATTCCATGGTGTATATGTGCCACATTTTCCCTGTCCAGTCTATCATTGATGGGCATTTGGGTTGGTTCCAGGTCTTTGCTATTGTAAACAGTGATGCAATGAACATTCGTGTGCATGTGTCCTTATAGAACGATTTATAATCCTTTGGATATATACCCAGTAATGGGATTGCTGGGTCAAATGGAATTTCTATTTCTAGGTCCTTGAGGAATCGCCACACTGTCTTCCACAATGGTTGAACTAATTTACACTCCCACCAACGTGTAAAAGTGTTCCTATTTTTCCACATCCTCTCCAGCATCTGTTGTCTCCAGATTTTTTAATGATCGCCATTCTAACTGGCATGAGATGGTATCTCAATGTAGTTTTGATTAGCATTTCTCTAATGACCAGTGATGATGAGCATTTTTTCATATGTTTGTTGGCCTCATGTATGTCTTCTTTTATAAAGTGTCTGTTCATATCCTTCGCCCACTTTTGAATGGGCTTTTTTTTTTTTTTTTCTTGTAAATCTGTTTTAGTTCTTTGTAGATTCTGGTTATCAGCCCTTTGTCAGATGGGTAGATTGCAAAAATTTTTTCCCATTCTGTTAGTTGCCGATTCACTCTAATGACTGTTTCTTTGGCTGTCCAGAAGCTGTGGAGTTTGATTAGGTCCCATTTGTCTATTTTGGCTTTTGTTGCCAATGCTTTTGGTGTTTTGGTCATGAAGTCCTTGCCTATGCCTAGATTTCCTTCTAGGGTTTTTATGGTGTTGGGCCTTATGTTTAAGTCTTTAATCCATCTGGAGTTAATTTTAGTGTAAGGTGTCAGGAAGGGGTCCAGTTTCTGCTTTCTGCACATGGCTAGCCAGTTTTCACAACACCATTTATTAAACAGGGAATCCTTTCCCCATTGCTTGTTTTTGTCAGGTTTGTCAAAGATCAGATGGTTGTAGATGTGTGGCATTGCCTCTGAGGCCTCTGTTCTGTTCCATTGGTCTATATCTCTGTTTCGGTACCAGTACCATGCTGTTTTGATTACTGTAGCCTTGTAGTATAGTTCGAAGTCAGGTAGTGTGTTGCCTCCCGCTTTGTTCTTTTTGCTTAGAATTGACTTGGCTATGCGGGCTCTCTTTTGGTTCCATATGAAGTTTAACGTAGTTTTTTCCAGTTCTTTGAAGAAGGTCATTGGTAGCCTGATGGGGATAGTGTTGAATCTGTAAGTTACTTTGGGCAGTATGGCCATTTTCATGACATTGATTCTTCCTAACCATGAGCATGGAATGTTTCTCCATCTGTTTGTGTCCTCTCTTATTTCATTGAGCAGTGGTTTGTAGTTCACCTTGAAAAGGTCCTTTAAATTCTTTGTCAGTTGTATTCCTAGGTATTTTATTCTCTTTGTAGCAATCATGAATGGCAGTTCATTGTTGATTTGGCTCTCTTTAATTCTGTTATTGGTGTATAGGAATGCTTGTGATTTTTACACATTGATTTTGTATCCTGAGACTTTGCTGAAGTTGCTTATCAGTTTCAGGAGATTCGGGGCTGAGACAATGGGGTCTTCTAAATATACAATCATGTCGTCTGCAAATAGAGACAATTTGACTTCCTCCTTTCCTATTTGAATTCCCTTTATTTCTTTTTCTTGCCTGATTGCTCTGGCTAGAACTTCCAATACTATATTGAATAGGAGTGGTGACAGAGGGCATCCTTGTCTAGTGCCAGATTTCAAAGGGAATGCTTCCAGTTTTTGCCCATTCAGTATGATATTGGCTATTGGTCTGTTGTAAATAGCTTTTATTATTTTGAGATACGTTCCATCAATACCTAGTTTATTGAGGGTTTTTAGCATAAAGCGTTGTTGAATTTTGTCAAAGGCCTTCTCTGCATCAATTGAGATAATCATGTGGTTTTTGTCTTTGGTTCTGTTTATGTGGTGAATTACGTTTATAGACTTGCATATGTTGAACCAGCCTTGCATCCCCAGGATGAAGCCTACTTGATCATGGTGAATAAGCTCTTTGATGTGCCATTGCAGTCGGTTTGCCGGTATTTTATTGAAGATTTTTACATCTATCTTCATCATGGATGTTGGCCTGAAGTTTTCTTTTCTTTCTGAGTCTTTGCCGGGTTTTGGTATCAGGATGATGTTGGTCTCATAAAATGATTTGGGAAGGATTCCCTCTTTTTGGATTGTTTGGAATAGTTTCAGAAGGAATGGTACCAGCTCCTCTTTGTATTCTGGTAGAATTCGGCTGTGAACCCATCTGGACCTGGGGTTTTTTTGGTTGATAGGCTATTAATTGCTGCCTCAACTTCTGCCCTTGTTACTGGTCTATTCAGGGTTTCGACTTTTTCCTGGTTTAGGCTTGGGAGGATGCAAGTGTCCAGGAATTTATCCATTTCTTCCAGGTTTACTAGTTTATATGCATAGAGTTTATTGTAATAATCTCTGATGATGGTTTGTATTTTTGTGGAATCTGTGGTGATATCCCCTTTATCATTTTTTATTGCATCTATTTGATTCTTCTCTCTTTTCTTTTTTATTATTCTGGCTAGTGGTCTATTTTGTTGGTGTTTTCAAAAAACCAGCTCCTGGGTTTATTGATTTTTCGAAGGGTTTTTTGTGTCTCTATCTCCTTCAGTTCTGCTCTGATCTTAGTTATTTCTTGTCTTCTGCTAGCTTTTGAGTTTTTTTGATCTTGCTCCTCTAGCTCTTTCAATTTTGACAATAGGGTGTCAATTTTAGATCTTTCCTTGTTTATCATATGGGCATTTATTGCTGTAAATTTTCCTGTAGACACTGCTTTAAATGTGTCCCAGAGATTCTGGTACATTGTGTCTTCGTTCTCATTGGTTTCGAAGAACATCTTTATTTCTGCCTTCATTTCATTGTTTATCCAGTCAACATTCAAGAGCCAGTTGTTCAGTTTCCATAAAGCTGTGCAGTTCTGAGTCAGTTTCTGAATTCTGAATTCTAACTTGATTGCACTGTGGTCTGTTTGTTATGATTTCCATTCTTTTGCATTTGCTGAGAAGTGATTTACTTCCAATTATGTGGTCAATTTTAGAGTAGGTGTGAAGTGGTGCTGAGAAGAATGTATATTCTGTGGATTTGGGGTGGAGGGTTCTGTAAATATCTATTAGGTTTGCTTGGTCCAGGCTTGAGTTCAAGTCCTGGATATCCTTGTTAATTTTCTGTCTCATTGATCTGTCTAATATGACAATGGGGTGTTAAAGTCTCCAGCTATTATTGTGTGGGAGTCTAGGTCTCTTTTTAAGTCATTAAGAACTTGTTTTATGTATCTGGGTGCTCCTGTATTGGGTGCGTATATATTTAGGATCGTTAGCTCTTGTTGCATTGATCCTTTTACCATTATGTAATGTCCTTTTTTGTCTCTTTTGATCTTTGTTGGTTTAAAGTCTATTTTATCAGAGACGAGAACTGCAACTCCTGCTTTTTTTTGCTTGGTAAATCTTCCTCCGTCCCTTCATTTTGAGTCTTTGTGTATCCTTGTATGTGAGATGGGTTTCCTGGATACAACACACCGATGGGTTTTGGCTTTTTATCCAATTTGCCAGTCCATGTCTTTTGATTGGGGCATTTAGCCCCTTTACATTTAGGGTTAATATTGTTATGTGTGAATTTGATCCTGCCATTTTGATGCTAGCTGGCTGTTTTGCCCATTAGTTGATGCTTTTTCTTCTTTGTGTTGGTGCTCTTTAACATTTGGTATGTTTTTGGAGTGGCCAGTACTGGTTGTTCCTTTCTATGCTTAGCGCTTCATTCAGGAGCTCTTGTAAGGCAGGCCTGGTGGTGATGAAATCTCTGAATACTTGCTTGTTTGTAAAGGATTTTCTCCTTCACTTATGAAGCTTAGTTTGGCCGGATATGAAATTCTAGGTTGAAAGTTCTTTTCTTTAAGGATGTTAAATATTGGCCCCCACACTCTTCTGGCTTGTAGGGTTTCTGCTGAGAGATCCACTGTGAGTCTGATGGGCTTCCCGTTGTGGGTAACCTGACCTTTCTCTCTGGCTGCCCTTAGCATTTTCTCCTTCATTTCAACCCTGGTGAATCTAAGGAAAACTAAGAAACAGAAAGAAATAACTTCATCATCAACAAACTGGACATTCACTCAGAGACCCAATCTGAAAGCCAACAACTACAAAGACGACAGGTGGATAAATCCACAAAGATGGGAAGAAGCCAGTGCAAAAAGGATGAAAACATCTGAAACCAGAATGCCGCTCCTCCTACAAGGGATCACAACTCACCAGCAAGGGAACGATTATGTGCCTTGGGGTTGCTCTTCTTGAGGAATATCTTTGTGTTATTCTCTGTATTTCCTGGACTTGAATATTGGCCTGCCTTGCTAAGTTGGGGAAGTTTTCCTGGATTATATCCTGAAGAGTATTTTCCAGATTGGATTCATTCTCTCCATCACATTCAGGTATGCCTATCAAATGTAGATTAGGTCTTTTCACATAGTCCCATATGTCTTAGAGACTTTGTTCATTCCTTTTTACCCTTTTTTCTCTAATGTTGCCTTCTCGTTTTATTTCATTGAGTTAATCTTTGACCTCTGATATCCTTTCTTCTGCTTGGTCAATTCGGCTGTTGAAACTCACGTATGCTTCGCGAAGTTCTTGTGTTGTGTTTTTCAGCTCCATCAATTCATTAATATTCCTAAGTTGTTTATTCTCGTTAGCATTTCGTCAAATATTTTTTCAAGGTTCTTAGTTTCTTTGCATTGGGTTAGAACATGTTCTTTTAGCTCAGCGAAGTTTCTGATTACTCACCTTCTGAAGCCTGTTTCTGTCAATTCATCACACTCATTCTCCATCCAGCCTTGTTCCCTTGCTGGTGAGTTGTGATCCCTTGTAGGAGGAGCGGCATTCTGGTTTCAGATGTTTTCATCCTTTTTGCACTGGCTTCTTCCCATCTTTGTGGATTTATCCACCTGTCGTCTTTGTAGTTGTTGGCTTTCAGATTGGGTCTCTGAGTGAATGTCCAGTTTGTTGATGATGAAGTTATTTCTTTCTGTTTCTTAGTTTTCCTTCTAGCATTCAGGCCTCTCTGCTGTAGGACTGCTGAGGTCCACTCCAGGCCCTGCTTGCCTGGGGATCCTATGCAGCAGCTGCAGAATAGTAAGGGTTGCTGCCGGTTTCTTCTGCTGTCTTTTTCCCGGAAGGATACCTGCCTGATGTCAGTCCGAACTCTCCTTTATGAGGTGACTCTTTGGATATGCAGGGGTCAGGGAGCTGCTTGAGGAGACAGTCTGTCCTTTATAGGAGCTCAAGTGCTGAGCTGTGAGCTCCATTGTTCATTCAGAGCTGCTGGGCAGGTACATTTAAGTCTGCTGCAGCAGAACTCATAACCTCCCCCACTTTTTTTTCCCAGGTGCTCTGTCCCGGGGCGTTAGGGCTTTATTTATAAGTTTCTGTCATGCTGCTGCCTTTTTTCAGGGATGCCCTGCCCAGCGAGGAGGCAGCCTAGTCACTGTCTGCCTGCAGAGGCATGCTGAGCTGCTGTGGGCTCTGCCCAGCTGCCGTGTGAACCTCCCTGCAGTCCTGTTTATATGGGTACAGTTAGAACTGCCTCGGCAGTGGTGGACTGCCTCTGTAACGGTAGGCTGCCTCAGCAAAGGCGGACTAGCTCCGAAGTGATGGACTGCCTTGGTAATGGTGGACGCCCCTCCCCCATAGAGCTGGCCCGTCCTGGGTTCAGCTGTGCTTGCTGTGAAACTGTTAATCCAGAGCATTTCAGATTGCTGTTTTTTTGTGGGGGTGGGACCAGCCAAGCCTGATCACCTGGTTCCCTGCCTCAGACCTCTTTTTTTTTTTTTTTTTTTTTTTTTTCAGTTGAACAGGCGACTCTGACTCCCAGGTGTTCCAGTCACCTGTTGAAAAGGTGCCAGGATCTGTGTGATTTCCCAGGCAGTGACCTACTGAGCAGGCTGAGATTTGTGGTGCTTTTTTTGTCCGGGAATCTCCTGGCCTGGCTCCCTGTTTCAGTCCGCTTTTTTATCAATTGAATGGGCAACTCTGTCTCCCAGGAGCTCCAATCGCCAGCTAGAACAGCACCCGGACCTGTGTGTTTTGTGCAGAGACCTGCCAGGCTGGGGGCGCTGGCCAAAACAGCCACGCAGGCCAAACCAGCGCACTGGTGACCCGTGGGGCTCCACCGCCTGGGAATCTCCTGGTCTGTGGGCAATAAAAATCCGTCTGTAAATGCAGCGTTCACTCACCCTCAGCGCTTTCGCTGGGAGCCACAGCCCTGAGCTGCTCCTAATTGGCCATCTGGGATCACATCCAATAAAGCCTTTAAATTTCCATTTAAGAGGGTATTATGCTGACCTCTTAACTGAGATTCTTTGTTGACAAAACAAGTGTTCCTCATTATTTAACTGCGAATAACATCTTGCATCTGAAAATTAGAAAATAAAATGTTTCAGGTTCTCTCTGCTAAATTCGGTTTCACTACTAAGAAGTACCAACTCATAGAACTGACTTTGTGCTCTGGGTGACGTGGCTTTCTCTCCCTTCAGAGGTTCCAGGTCAGCGTTCCAGGTGGGCTTCATAAGTAGAAATCCAGTCGCCAATTCTGAAGCCCCCCAGTTAGTGAATGTTCAGGGCATGGATTTCTGCTCAAGCATGGGAAAGATCTTCCCAAGTGGGGCAGGGCTCAACAAAGAGGAGGGTGGCCTTGGAGGCTGGCTGACATCCTGCTTTATACCTGAACATCTCGCCGACAGAGCCAAAAGACACAACCAGGAGGGTCTGTACCAAACTCCCATTATCCAGGACTTTCCTTTGGCTGGAGTGGGAGAGGGGAAGGTGTGTCAGAAGGTTGCTTCTCCTCTTTTCCTGCAGCAGGCAATGGCTTCACTGTTTACCAAGTACTGTTTCCCATGAGCTGGCATGAGAAATTCCCCGCTACTTAAAATATTCTACCTCATTTGGAAAATACATTCTAAGTTCCAACCAACTGAATTAGAAATGAGATTTTTATTTTTATACAAATTGCCAGGTAAATATATGAATCTATTTTAGTTGCAAAATATTCAAACAACCCAATATGACAAATGGATGTTTGACTGAATTATATAGCTGTTCTGGAATTTTTCCCCTCAGACGCATAACCTGGGGAAAATACATGAATTGTGGCCAAACGTGCATTGCCCCCGACTACATTCTCTGTGAAGCATCCCTCCAGAATCAAATTGTGCAGAAGATTAAAGAAACGGTGAAGGTTTGTATTCAACACATCTGATTCCACTGATTTTAATAAGATAAGGAGTCAAATTAACTGTTCACAGAGCATCCCCATTAGTTTCTCTCTCTAGGAAAATGTCACAAGCATATATGGCCCAATGAATTTATTAGCTAATAAGAAAATACTATATGTATCTTTCATAGAATATCTGCTAGGAGCAAAGTTGCATTGGTGTTAAATCTACTTAAGCTGTCTAGTTGATATGTTGATAATTAGTTGTGGCATATACTTACTTTTAAAAAACTTAAATAATTGTGTGTTTGTGATTTTGAGAGAATGTTGCCAACCCTTTAGGTATAATCAGAGAGACGGTTTGGCATGTTGGCCATTGCTGATGAAGGTTATCAGTTTTTGTGTATGTAGAGGGCTTAGGGTGGCCGGTAGTTTGGAGGAGTGACTTAATTAAATAACTACTTATAGTATACCTTTTATATAGTTATCAATATCTCAGAGTGTTTAAAATAAATATCTGCAGTGAGGGAACCAAGGAAAGCTGCATGATAGAGTCCTAAGCCAAGACTTGAAGAAAATGTAGGATTTAGGTTGGCAGAAAGAAATGGGGGCTGGATGCGGTGGCTGGATGCAGTGGTTCATGCCCGTAATCCCAGCACTTTGGGAGGCCAAGGCGGCAGATCACTTGAGATCTGAAGTTCAAGACCAGCCTGGCCAATATGGTGAAACCTCATCTCTAGTAAAAAAATTAATACAAAAAAAAATTAACCGGAGGCACGAGAATCACTTGAACCCTGGAGGCAAAGGTTGCAGTGAGCTAGGATCACACCACTGCACTCCAGCAGCCTGGGTGACAGAGTGAGACTCTGTCTTAAAAAAAAGAAAGAAAAGAATGGGATGAGCAGATGAGTAATGTGACTGAGTTCAGCAGTGGGTGAGGGTCATTAACCTCTCAGATGAAAGAAATTATTGGAGCAGCCACTGTTTACTCAACAGATGTTAATTGAACACGGAAAGGAAGGATCAAAAACACCAAAGAGTAATGCTTGTGATCTGAAAATGAAAATTGTTGGCCAGACATGGTGGCTCATGCCTATAATCCTGGCACTTTGGGAGGCCACGGCAGGTTGATCACTTGAGGTGAGGAGTTCGAGACCAGCCTGGCCAACATGGCAAACCCCGTCTCTACTAAAAGTAAAAAAATTAACCAGGCATGGTAGCACATGCCTATAATTCCAGCTGCTTGGGTGGCTGAGGCACGAGAATTGCTTGAACCCAGGAGGTGGAGGTTGCAGTGAGCCAATATCATGCTACTGCACTCCAACCTGGATAATGGAATGAGAGCCTGTCTCAAAAAATTTTAAAAAAGAAAACAGAAATTGTTGCCAGTTGAGGTGGCTCACTCCTGTAATCCCAGCACTTTGGGAGGATCACTGGAGCCCAGGAGTTCAAAACCAGCCAGGTCAACATAACAAGACCCTGACTGACTCTACAAAAAAAAAAAAAAAAAAAAAAAAGGTTAGCTGGGCATGGTGGCACATGCCTATAGTCCCAGCTACTCAGGAGGCTGAAGCCAGAAGGATCACTTGAGCCCAGTAGTTCAAGGCTGCAGGGAGCCATTATTGCACCACTGTGCTCCAGCCTGGGTGACAGCACAAGACCCTGTCTCAACAGAAAAAAAAAAAGAAAAGAGAAAATTGGCTGGGCACAGTGGCTCACTCCTGTAATCCCAGCACTTTGGGAGGCTGAGGCAAGACAGATTGCTTAAGGCTAGGAGTTGAAGACCAGCTGGACAATATAGCAAAATCCCATCTCTACAAGACCCACAAAAATTAGCTGGGTGTAGTGGTGTGCACCTGTGGACCCACCCACTTGGGAAGCTGAGGTAAGAGGATTGCTTGAGCCTGCCTGGGAGGCGGAGGCTGCAGTGAGCTAAGATTGTACCACTGTACCTCCCTGGGTGACAGAATGAGACCCTGTCTCAAAAATAAATAAATAAAAGAGAAAATTGTATACTAGGAAGTTCAGGGAGATAGTTCACGATGTGTTTGAGGCAGAGTAACTTGGGTGATGAGGTACTAGGGTCTTGATACAGGAATTGGACTATCATTTTCAGTGATAAGACTAAAAATGGATCCAGATGAGAACATGAAGGGAGAGTTGCCCAGATTTGGGGTACATGGGAAGAGAAAATGGTTAAATATACTTGTGAGACTGAAAAATACTTGGGAATTGGAGAAACGCTTAGTTGAATGTGGTAACGAATTCAGTTTCAAGGGAATAACGGCCTCTGCCTCCCTTTGAGGCATTTATACTCTAACACAGTGGTTCTCAAGCTACATGTTAGAATCACTAGGGAGCCATTTAAAAACAAGTTTGCAAGACTTACCCTCCAAAGATTCAGCTTTTTGGAGGCCCCCAGGTGATTCTATGATGTAGTCAGCATTGAAAGCTACTGTGGGTAGCTTTTACCACTCTAGGCACATGCATTTTAGCAAGCTACACAAGTGATTCCTACCACCCAGACTTGAGAAGTGTTCTTGGTAGAGGTTGGGTGAACAGCGTTCATTTTGATTTGAGATTAAATTGAGAACTCTCGCAAGGCCTTGAAGTGATGTAGCAATTCAGTAATTTTGTGTTTATTTGACAAAGTAAATATTGGTTGTGTTATTATGAGGTTCTTTTACGTTGGTGTTTTACCAAAGCTGTACTTTGAGCCTTTGAGTGGTTTCCCCATCATGTGTAAGTGGTGGAAATACCAGTTCAAAGAATACCAAAACAACAAAGTGGGGCAAAGATTGGCAAATGTTTTCTGTAAAGGGCTCAGTGGTCAATATTTTAGGCTTTGCAGATCTTAGAGTCTCTGCTGCAACTACCCAACTTAATGTAGGGGGAGAGCAGGCACAGCCAGTGTGTGAACAAATAGGCAACCCTGACGTAAAACAAGACTTCTTTTCTAAGCCTACTACTGCCGTTAACCCCAGGGGGTGAAGGCCCATGGTTGGACTGTAAGAGATCCATAAGGACCCTTGGTACTATAGACAGTGATAGAGCTCTGGGTGTGTGCATGCTTTATTTTCTAGTCCTTGACCTGCCAAAAAGCTGAAACTTAACTACTATTATACTACTGTTCAATTACTTGAGGGCTGGGTGTTTGATTCTGTGAGGATAGAAAACCAGATTGATTTGGGGGCATGGCCGGATTTTGTACTTACTGAAATTGAAATGTGGGTCTTTATGACATTTGTATACTTCTGTTGTTTTAAATAGGAATTTTATGGAGAAAATGTAAAAGAGTCTCCTGATTATGAAAGGATCATCAATCGTCGTCATTTTAAGAGGATTCTAAGTTTGCTTGAAGGACAAAAGATAGCTTTTGGTGGGGAGACGGATGAGGCCACACGCTACATAGGTAATGGAAATTCTCCTTTTCCTAAGGGAAGATGGCAGTTTGGCAGCTTTTGCTGACACTACTTACTAACACTAAATAAACTATTAAATATATAGCGTTTAGCCGTTAAAGTACTCAATACTGCTTTCCGTTATACTGTAGCTTTTGTTATAAACTATGTAAAATGTCTGTGTTCCTGTATGTTGAATGATGCCACCAGCGTTGCTCCAGTTGTTCATATTTACACGTAACTACTTTTTTCTTGCTAATGACCCTGAGAAGCAGAGTAGAACTTGTAATTATCTCCAGTTTGTGGATAGGAAAACAGCACAAAGAAGAAAATAGCTTGGCCGCTATTCTACAACTAACCAGTGACAGTAACACTCCAGAAGCAACATTTTGGTCCATCATGCTTGACCTGATTATTTGTGTACCTTCTTTATGCTTTCTCTTCTTTGCCTTGAATATGTATTACTTTGAATGTTAAGCACATTTTTCTAGAGTAAAATGTAAGGGGACAGAAAAGTTAGACCCATTTGGACTTGGCTGGCAAAGAAGCTGTCCCATGTAGCTTTACTTATCCCCTTTATCAGAAAAGATGCTACAAGTTACCCCCCCCCCAAAAAAAACCTTAAAATATTGAAATAAGAAGCAGAAATTGATTATCTTATAATTAGCAGTCCCGAGGTTCTCCTGAGCTGGATAATTCAGTGGCTCAGTGGTACCATCAAAAAGCCCTGATTTTTTGTACTAGGATGTAAAAGAAAACAATCCTGTACCTTCTGTCTCTCTTGGTGGTGGCCCAGATTGAATTGGGGAATACATCTGTAGAAAAAAGGGAAAACAGACTCTAATTCTTTCATCTCTCTGTTCTCCCATCCTCAGTATGTCCGCATTGCCCATTTCTAGGCTAAGAATGGCAAGGGAAAGGGGCTATCCTGAGTAGCTCATAGACTAATTCGGACTTTCCCCTGATTTTGAGCTAGGATTATCTTACCTGAGCACAGCTATGCAGAGGAAGTAGACACCCAGCCCAAATTTGTTCTCTGACCTGAGGAAGATGTGGGCAATGGATTTGGGGTGGCAGCTTATATACCCCTAGAAGTGGTACTGCAGGAAGCCATCCCCAGCCACATTGCCAAGATGCCCTAGTAGAAACTAGGGGTAAAGGAAAAGTGCCAACTTGTTAGATGACTTCTCTTTTGGTTGACGATCCAGTTTATTCTTTATAGCATCTTTTGGAGTACAGCCAGTTGGTGACTTATGTTGGCAGCAGATGCTGGGACACTCTGCATAGCCTCCTCAGCATCTGTTTCGCCCTCCTTTCTTGTGCCTCTTCCCCATGGTAGATGGAACACTGAACTAAGGCTTAGGGAATTTTGACCATTTAAGCCTGTTTTCTTAATCTGTCTAACAGAGTTGTAATAAAGACTAATGAGATAATATATATGAAAGCACTTGAGTTAAGAAAAAATAGTATTGATGTGATTCACAGAGGAGCTGTCTTTGCTCCTAGAAAAACCTGTCCACAAAAAAATGTTAAGTATAATCTACAGTTAAATACATGCATGGCTGTGAACAGAGTTAAGTATGAAAAAGATATATTTGACTGTATGTCGTTCCCTTGGTTTGCACAGGTACCCACAGGGTTGTGATTCACAGCCTTTGGAGACATTGAGTATTTGCACAGTTCATCCACATGCTCAGGACTTTTCATTGGATATGACTTGGGTAGGAGAAGGAGAGGGATGGATAGGTGACTCGATGAAAGAAATGGAAGATGAGCGTTGTGCATTTTTGTCTAAGCATTTTCATTTTGTTTATTTTCTTTTAAGCCCCAACAGTACTTACTGATGTTGATCCTAAAACCAAGGTGATGCAAGAAGAAATTTTTGGACCAGTTCTTCCAATAGTGCCTGTGAACAATGTAGATGAGGCCATAAATTTCATAAATGAACGTGAAAAGCCTCTGGCTCTCTACGTATTTTCACATAACAATAAGGTAAGCTTTAGAGAGAACAGCTCACTCTCGTAAGTGACTGTCAAGAGTCATGTTCCTTCTCTGCTGTAAAACAATGCAAAAAACAATGTAAAACAATGATGTGTTTTTTGTATAGCATCAGAGTCCACTAAGTGAGGTTGCATTCCTAGGTTGCTGTCTTGGATAATGAGGCTCTGGGGTTGTCACAGTCTCCATTCCCCTCCTCCCTGGGGTTATATCTGAGTCTGCAGGGGTGAGTGTCGCAGGGTTTTTGATTCACAAACATCTCCCGTATAATTGGAAGACTTCTATGTGCCAGCATTAAATGCTTTTCTGATGTTAATCCACAGGGCATTGCTGAATGCAAAGACAGCACCTCTGTGAATCACATCAACGCTGTTTTTTCTTAACTTGAGCGCTCTTGCCTGCCCTATGACCAAAATGGCATTCACTGCCACTCAGAGGGAGTTGTGTGGGACAGAGACCCCGACATTGTCACATAAATGGCTGTGATGTCACGGATTTTAGTTTCTCACATTACATTAGCTTCTTGTAGAGTGGTGGAACCGCATCACCTGGTTGAGCAGTTCCGCCACTTTCTGCATGGCTCACTCATTCATGTCACTAGGGGACCAGCTGCTACTAAGACACAGTGGCCTCAAGGAGGGCAAGTAGGTTCAGAAGCCCTCTGAAGAAGCGGGAAAACTAGAAGGGAAAAGAGACTAGTCAAGATCTGAGGAGTTCATAAGCCAAATGTTTTCTGGAGAGCTTCTGATGGTAATGTACAGATAGTCATGTGACACCTTTTGGAGCTTGTGATGCTGTTAAGATACAGATAGCTGCAGGCATTTGAAGTGAGACCCAATGTTCCGGGCCCAGTAAAGACTTGGTTATTACAAAACAATGGTTTGACATGTAAAACCATGGATAATGTGGGCAGGAAGGAACCCTGAAGCCGAAAGGCGGCTGGCCAAGGTACGAGTCAGGTGTGGAGCACTTCCCAGCAGTGGGTCACCTGAGGTCACTACTGTCCAGACTTGACATTTGCCATGAAGAACCCTGAAGGGCTTGCTGGCACCCAAGTGACATGGCATTTGCTAGTAAAGTGTTCTTGTGGTTTTCTGGGTCTTAGGCCAACCAACCATTTAATCCTTAAATAGGATGCTAAATCTATGGACTTAAATATTTTTGCATTTTACAAAGACTAAATAATAACTCCTAATCATATGTGATAATTTAGAGTGAGAAAAGAAAGAAACAACAGGTTTTAAAGCTGGAATGTAATCTAAACTGTCCCCTTATAAAGAGCCTTTTGCTGCTGTGCTGGGGAGTACAACTCTAGGTGGTGGCGGAGTAGGCCCAGAGGTTTGGAGCTGCCTCCCTTTGCGCACTAGATGTGTGTCTGAGAAGTTGGGTATCAGTCACTTTGCTAAGTTAACCACAGTTTAGATTGTTTGTCTATCTGGCTGGCATGGCATCCCCAGACTCGAGAATTTTCACTGACACAAAGCCAGAATGTGCATGCTTTGAGCACATAACTGAACACACAGCCCTCTGTGTGGCGGGGCCTGAGTGTTCCCTGAGAGGCAACTTCACTGACCTGGATGCCTTTGGTCTGTCCTCAGCTCATCAAACGGATGATTGATGAGACGTCCAGTGGGGGTGTCACAGGCAATGACGTCATCATGCACTTCATGCTCAACTCTTTCCCCTTTGGAGGAGTGGGTGAGTCACTTTCTCCTGCTCACAGGAGATATTTCGAAAGCACCACCATTTCACAAGTGGCTTGTTTGGGCTGTTGAAATAGCCAGCTGCTGCATACCCTGATTGTCGTCTCCTGAGGGAGGCCTTCCCTGGTCACCCAGTTGACTGTGGTTTTCCCACTTTCCCACCCACCCCTCCAGCACAGGACGAATGTCCCCTCACTCTCCTGTCAGCAGCACTGACTGACCACAGTTGTAATCATTACTTTGTTCACTTCATTGATTTTATTTATTGTCCTGCCACATTTAGGAGATCTGGGAACCAAGACAGGTCTCAAATTAATTAATAAGATCTTGCTCTCTCTTTTTTTTTTTTTTTAATGAGGTAGCAAATAAAAGGTTCAGAATGCCAGGGGACAGACCACAGCTTCAGGAGTTTTTAAATGTGCCTTTGGTTTCTGCTCAGGTCTTACCTGCATTGTTTCCCAGCCCTTTGCTGGGAAGAGCAGCCTTCTCCTTTAATTGTTTTGTGATTTGAGTAGAACGAGAAGCCCCCTGTTCTAGAGAGGGTGGGTAGGAAAAATTCATTCTAAGTGAAGCTTTGTGGCCATAGCCTGATCCTTACTGTTCCCTTTAGAACATGACTTGTCTCCCTCTCCGACGTGTGAGATGACTGACTTAGCTTTTTCTCCTTTGGGAGGTAGGCTAGGTGGGCTTCTCTACTATCTAGTAGAGATATTACAAAACAGCCAAGATGAAAACATTCTCATAACAAAAAGCAAACCATAAAAGCCACCGTCTTGAAGCCCTATTCTATCCTCTCCCTTTGTAATACCATAAATCATTTGCTCCATGGGATGGAATGGCCCAGTTTGGCAGGACTGCCTGTTCCTAATTAAGGAAACCTTTTTCTATGACCAAGAAGCCTTGGCCTGTAGCCACAGGTCCTTGTCTAAGAGGTAAACATGGCCAGCACACCGCACAGTGACTGTGCACATACATGGGTGAAGGACAGGCGGGAAGAGGCCAAATCAGTAGGTGTTGGCAGATCCAAATTGGAAATAGTGGTGACTTGGAGAGGGTGGTAGCAGGGGAGACGGTGGAAAGGGAAGTGGGAATTTTTTTGGATCAAGCAGCAGGATTTGCTGATGGAGTGAATGTGGGAGGAGGGGGTGAATGCAAGAGGATGACTCCTGGGATTTTGGCTGGAGTAACTAATAGTTTTGTAGCCCAAATGCTTAAAAGATTGGACTCCATTGTCTCCAGCTCCTCAGCTCACCACATAGATCCTGGCATCCACTGTGCTGCTGCAGCCATCCACTCTGTAATTGTTCTATATGGTGTCTCCAGTGCCCTCTAATTGCAAATCTAAGTGACTTGGGTTCAGTCCCTGTCCTGCTTGACAAGGTAGCCTGTGGCATCATTGACTATACCATCTTATTTAAAACAAAACAAGGCTGGGCGCCATGGCTCATGCTTGTAATCCCAGGACTTTGGGAGGCTGAGGTGGGCGGATCCCTTGAGATCAGGAGTTCAAGACTAGCCTGGCCAACATGGTGAAAGCCCGTCTCTACTAAAAATAAAAAAATTAGCCAGATGTGGCACATGCCTGTAGTCCCACCTACTAGGGAGGCTGAGGCAGGAGAATCACTTGAACCTGGGAGACAGAGGTTGCAGTGGGCCGAGATCGTACCACTGCACTCTAGCCTGGGCAATAGAGCAAGACTTCATCTCAAAAATAAAAATAAAACAAACAATGTATTATATACTCATAAAAATCAAAAATACAGAAAAAAGACACAAAAGAAAAAAGCAGGTCTAATGTCTCAGCAAATTTCAGGCATATAATACATTATTATAGTGGCCATGCTGTAAAAAAAGTAAATAAATAAAAAAAAACAAGCCTTGACCCCCAAATGTAAAAGGAATACAGGTTTTTTAAGAAAACTTGGAAAAGATAGAAGAGTCCAAAGAATAAACATTTACGTTATTCATAACCGTACTATGTAAAGATAACTGGTATATGTCGTGCACATACATGCATACACATATACACAGACACTTGAATATTCTGTTCAAAATGGCATCATATTATATATTCTGTACCCTGTATGCGACAGGATAGTGTGACAATTTACCATGTCAGTATTCTTGCATGTCATAATTTTAGTAACTGCATACTCTTCCATCACACTAACGTGGCATATTTATGTAACCAATTCCCAGTATCAGATTTCAGTTTTTCTGGTATGATTCTTATGTAATATATCTTTATGCAATCTCTGATTATTTCTTTAGGAAAAATGTCTAGAAGTGTAATTACTGTGTTAAAAGGGCTTATACAATTTTCCAAATTGAAAAACATGCTTTTTTCTTCTAATTCTCAAAGTAACATAGATGCAGCGGCAAAAAGTCTAAACAGTTAAACTTTAACGAAAAATGTAATAATCTCCCAGGCATAAACACTATTAATATTTTGTCATATAGGTTAGATTTTTTTTCTTTTCTTTTCTTTTTTTGAGACTAAGACTTACCATGTTGCCCAGGCTGGAGTGCAATGGTGCAATCTCAGCCCATTGCAACCTCCAACTCTCAGGTTCAAGCAATTACCCTGACCCAGCATCCCAAGTAGCTGGAATTACAGGTGTACGCCACCATGCCCAGCTAATTTTTGTATTTTTTGTAAAGACAGGGTTTTGCCATGTTAGCCAAGCTGGTCTCAAACTCCTGGGCTCAAGAGATCCACTTGCCTTGGCCTTCCGAAGTGCTAGAATTACAGGCGTGAGCCATCACGCCCGGCCTAGGTTTTTCTTTAGAAATGCATTATCTTTAAAGTTTTTGATACATACTTCAAGTGTCTTTGCAGATTTCTGCTACCTCATATTCCCATGAACAGTGTGTGAGCGTTTACTTCCTTATACCTTAATTCTGGATTATTCCATTACTAAATTTCTAGACAGAAAGAGAAGGGTCTCATTTTAATTTGTACTCCTTTGATTATTAGTGAGTTTGAATTCATTTTTAGTACTCTCATGAATTTTCTGTTTATGTCCTTTGATATTTTTGCTGTTTTCGTGCCTTCCTTATTGGTATATAAATAGTCTTTTTTTTAATAAGTAAGAAAATCCTCAGTCCTATCTGTAACACATATCCCTTTCCAGATTTTAATTTTTTTTTAAATTTTATCTATGATTTGAAACATTTATTTATTGTATTTTATTTATTTTCTGAGACACAGTCTCGCCCTTGTCACCCAGGCTGGAGTGCAGTGGCACTATCTCAGCTCACTGCAACCCCTACCTCCTGCCTCAGCCTACCGAGTAGCTGGGATTGTAGGCACCCGCCACCACACCCACCTAATTTTTAGTAGAGCTGGGGTTTCACCATGTTGGCCGGGCTGTTCTCCAACTTCTGATCTCAGGTGAGCCGCCCTCCTCAGCCTCCCAAAGTGCTGGGATTACAGGCGTGAGCCACTGCACCCGGCCTAAACCTGTGTGGCTTTTTGGTTTTTGGTTTCTGATTTGGAAAGTAGGCTTAGGAAAGCTTTCCCCACTTCAGCATTATATAAATATCATCTGTAAGCCAGGCGCAGTGGCTCATGCCTATAATCCCAGCACTTTGGGAGCCCAAGGCACCTGGCCAACATGGTGAAACCCTGTCTATACCTAAAAATACAAAAGAATTAGCCAGGCGTGGTGGCACTGCCTGTAGTCCCAGCTACTCAGGAGGCTGAGGGAGGAGAATAGCTTGAACCTGGGACATGGAGGTTGCTGTGAGCAGAGATTGTGCCACTGCACTCCAGCTTGGGCAACAGAGCGAGACTCTGTCTTAAAAATAATAATAAATAAACAAATAATGAAATATCTGCAGTTTCTTTTTCTTTCTTTTTAATTTTAACATTTAACCATGGAGTTGGCCAGGCATATTAGCTTACACCTATAATCCCAGGACTTTGGAAAGGCAAGGCAGGTGGATCACCTGAGGTCAAGATCTTGAGACTAGCCTGGCCAACATGGTAAAACCCCGTCTCCACTAAAAATACAAAAAAAATTAGCTGGGCATGGTGGCACATACCTGCAGTCCCAGCTAGTCTATAGGCTGAGGCAGGAGAATAGCTTGAACCTGGGAGGTGGAAGCTGCAGTGAGCCGAGATTGCACCACTGCTCTCCAGCCTGGGCAACAGAGTGACAGAGTGAGCCTCCGTCTCAAAAATAAGAAATAAAAAACTTCCATGGAGTTTACTTTAGAATGCTGTATGATGTAGTAATCTGCCTTTTTTTTTTTTTTTTTTCAAAGTATGAACTAATTAGGCTGGCGCCACTTTTTGAAATAATCATCCTTATACCATTCGTACACATGTTTGGGACATTCTTGGGGTTTTCTCATCTTTCTGGTTTGTTTTTTCCATGGACCAGTACCACAGTTTCAATTGCAGTAGCTGTACAGTTAGCTTTTTTTATAAGTGATATTTATTAAGTGCTTATTATATGCCAGGTGCTGCGGTTGAATCCCTGCCTTTTTTTTTTTTTTTCTTTGAGATGGAGTCTTGCTCTGTTGCCCATGCTGGAGGGCAGTGGTACGATCTTGGCTCACTGAAACCTCCGCCTCCCCAGTTCAAGTGATTCTCCTGCCTTAGCCTCCCAAGTAGCTGGGACTACTGGTGCACGCCACCACACCCACCTAATTTTTGTATGTTTAGTAGAGACGGGGTTTCACCATGTTGGCCAGGATGGTCTTGACCTCCTGATCTCATGATCTGCCCGCCTCAGACTCCCAAAGTGCTGGGATTGCAGGCGTGCGCCAGTGAGCCCAGCCTTCTGTTCTTTTCTTTTTTGAGATATGGTCTCCTCTGTCACTCAGGCTAGAGGACAGTGGTGCAATCATGGCTCACCGCAGCCTCAACCTCTTGGGCTCAAACAATCTTCCCACCTCAGCCTCCTGAGTAGCTGGGCCTACAAATGTACACCACTGTGCCTGGGTAATTAAGAAAATTTTTTTTGTAGAGATGCGGTCTCACTATGTTGCCCAAGTTGGTCTTGAACTCCTGGGTTCAAGCAACCCTCCCACTTCAGCCTCCCAAAGTGCTGGGATTACAGGTATGCGCCACTGCGCCTGGCCAAATGCACGCATTTTAGAGACAGACAGCTAATAAGTTGTCTTATTAAAACAACTAAGAAACGAGCCAAAGTTGCCTGACTCTAAAACCCACAAATTCAACCAACCCAGTAGCTTGCTCTTTAGGACGCAGCACTATTGAAATATCTAAACGTTAAAGTTTCTCATCATTACTGTTTTTCAGTGTTTTCTCTAGTTCTTATCTAAATTTGTTTTTCCAGGTGATCTTTGGAATCACTACCTTCTCCTACAAAAAAAAAAAAAAAAGAAAAAGAAAAAAAAACCTTCTGAAATCCCCTGGGATTTGGATTAAAATTGATTTAAACTTAAATTATTTTGGGAAGAATTTATATCTTTGAAATGTGGAGTCTTCATGGGAATATGTTATATCATCTCTTCATTTATATAACCCTTTTATATCTTTCAACAAAACTTTGTAATTTCCTTTATGTCAGTTTTTTGCTTTTTATTTGTTTGTTTATTTTTTGAGACAGGATCTCGCTTTATTGACCAGGCTAGAATGCAGTGTGGCTGAATCAGAGCTCACTGCAACTTTGAACTCCCGGGCTCAAGCAATCCTCCTGTGTCAACCTCCCAAATTTTTCCCAGTTTCTTACTACCTTGGTTATGTCATTGGCTGGCCCCTCCTGCATTCTTTACCCTCCCTCATTGTCAGGGTTTCTCAGGGTCTTGTCCTCGGGTCTCTTTTCACACCAGGGCTGCTTCATGAATGATTCCTTCCTGCAGCCTGGCCCTGGTAAACTGCTCCCTGGCCTCTGGTCACCTGTGTCTTACGTCACACATGCCATTCCCTCTGCCCAGCAGACACTGCTCCCCTTTGTGCCTGTCAGCTTGTTGTATACACAATGAATTAGAGAAATGAAAACTGTCACAGAACATGGCTTTGTGGAGGGCAGAGATTTATACTTGCTTATTTTCACCCAGCTGTGCAACTCTGTCACTCTTACTTTCTACAGGCTTAGAGAAAACAGGTGGGTGAGTGGGGCCATGGATGAATGAAGCCACATGGAATGGTGGGAGGAAAGCACACGTAGCATTCAGAGTCTGATCTGGGTTCAGGTTCTGGGTTTGCCACTTACCAGCCATGTGGCCCTGGGCAAGTTAACTGACCCTGTAAGCTCCCTTTCTCTCTCTGGAAGTGAGGCTGCTGATAATTCACCAAGTGGGATTGTGGTGAGAATTATCTTAAGAGAATGGTTTAAACTCTTAGCACAGTCCCTGGCATATATGAGGGCCACAGCCCTAGCAGAGGTGCAAGTCCTTGTCTTGCTCTTGGAAAGCATCCTGTTTGACAGGGACATTGACTTTTCCAGGGAAGTTGGTAATAACTTCCTGAAAAGAGATAATTCGGCTGTCAGAGAGGTTTAGTGGGGGCACCCAAGCAGCAGGGAGTGCATGTGGGCTTTCTTGGTCATTGTTAGACAGAAGTAGCTTGCATCATCTACAGTGAAGCTTGCTTTGTCTGTTCCCTTTACTTCAGGTTCCAGTGGAATGGGAGCTTATCATGGAAAACATACTTTCGATACTTTTTCTCATCAGCGTCCCTGTTTATTAAAAAGTTTAAAGAGAGAAGGTGCTAACAAACTCAGATATCCTCCCAACAGCCAGTCAAAGGTGGACTGGGGAAAATTTTTTCTCTTGAAACGGTTCAACAAAGAAAAACTCGGTCTCCTGTTGCTCACTTTCCTGGGTATTGTAGCAGCTGTGCTTGTCAAGGTGAGTCCCTGTTACCCATGAGTGCCATTCGTTCTGGCCCGATGGCTGCCGGATGCCTATTCTAGCAAGATTCTACATTAACTTGTAGAGTCTTAAGTCAGGGTCAGTGAACCACAGCCTGTTGGCCAGCTACCTGCTTTTGTCGCTTAAGTTGTTGGAACACAGCTGCACCCACTTATCCACAGCTGCCTTCACGGGATGGTGACAGAGCTGAGTAGTTGCAACAGAGGCTGAATGGCTCTCAAAGCCTAAATTGTTACAGAAAAGTTTGCTGACCTCTGGTCTAACAGTTAAAATGGTGTAGAACTTGCTTGCAAAATTCTGAGCTGTCTAACCCTTTGATCCTTTCGGTATTGGGTTTTCCCTGTCACTCCCAGCTTTGTTCTTGAATGTGCATGAAATCAGCTTGCCATGGAGATGGAGGCAAGAACTCTGGTGGATGGTAGTGCTGGTGAAAGAGCTTTGGTGAGGGGTATTTTATCAGGCTTGAGTGCTTTTCCCCCAGAGTTGACTACCTGATAAAGTTTATCTTTGGTGATCAGTCGTTATAGAGGTGGCCTTGCAAAGAGGCCTTCTCAAGGCAGCTTGCGTATCTTGGGGTAAAAGGGGAAATCCATGATAATTAAAGTTAAGATGGAATGAGGAAGGTGATTACGTCTATGGCACCCTCAGCGGAGATAAAATGGAAAATATCGACCACATCTGTGAAGAATGGGCTTGGAAAAGGCAATGGAAATAGCTGTGTTTATGTTTTGTTTAAAATTTGAAGGAGGATTGGCTCATCTTACAGTATCCCAGCTTTAGTGGAATTGGAGATAACAGTTGCATTTGAAATCATTTGGGTTTTCTCAGAAATACCAAGCTGTGCTGAGGAGAAAGGCCCTGTTGATTTTTCTGGTAGTTCACAGACTGCATTGGTCCAGTAAACAGAGATGAACAGCAGATTTCAAAACCCAGCCCTGTCTGTTAAGAGTGAGGTAGGAACTTCTTGTTTTCTTTTTCTATATAAGGTGGGCCAAGTTGGGGTATGTTTTCAAGGGTTTTTTTGGTTTTGTTTTGTTTTTTTTTTTTTTTTCTACAGTTGGAGGCTTAGAGGTTATTGAAAAAAGAATGCTTAACTTACTTGTCTCTAGGCATTTTGGACTTGGGCCCAGAGTATCAGGGTGTTAAAACTCCACCTATCCACAGTTTTAAAAGGGTTGGGCGACTTGCTCGGAATCTAAGAGAAGTGTGTAGAGACAGTGGCTTATTGGGTCCAGGTGAAGCATACATCATTTCTAGGAACAGGGCGGCCGAGTGTGAGCCTCGTTTCTCTTCCCCATCTACTCAGCTCTCCTGGAGGAAGTGTCAGCTGACTAACTGAGACTTGTCACCATCTGGGCACTAAACTCTTTGTGTCGTAATTTAAGAATAGTATTTTAAAAATCACTGAGTAGTTTTGATTTGTTTTCATTTTTTAAATAAGGTTTGACTTTGGGATTCGTGGCAGCGAATGTCATAAAGCAAGGTGTAGTATGCAATTTAGCAGCTATCTACTTTCTTCTCTCCCTTCCTGAGGCTGGAGGTGTGGTCGGAGGCTTGCTTGGGTCTCTGATTATTATCTGCCTCTTTTGTTATTATCCCAAGACCTCGGTTCCCCAGCCTGATAATGCATCTTGATTGGGATAGAATTTTTTTAGCTTCACGGAAAATACGGAGGTCCAGGCTGAGTCTGCATTCTCTAGGCTTACCAAACTCCCAAGAAGCTCCCCCAGGTACGGTGCCCTGTGCCAGGCAGGTTTGAGTTCCCGAAATGGTTTGGCAGACATGTTTCTCTGTGTGGGTCTAGAGAAGCAGCAACATATAAAACCTTTAGCAGGAACAAGAAAATGTGTTTTGATTCCTGGCTTGATGTTGACTTAATTATGACCTTGGGCCAAAGCCTTTTCAGAGCTCTTCCTTGGGCCTCAGCTTGCCCATTTATGGGATGAGGGAGTAGATGTCAGTGATTCCCCAGGCCACTGTCAACCCGCTCTCTCAATTCTCATTGCTATTAGCTGTTAATATTTCTTTGGATTCAGTCTGGAACCACGTAGAGATTTGGTTTTCTTTTTCACGCTGCTGCTTTTCTGCTCCTCTCTGAGCTTTTAATCCTTTTTTATCAGGTTACCTTTATTTTAAACAAATGACTGAATCTATATTCAAAATACAGAGGAGTATTGAATCTGTATTCAAAATACACTACTGAGGAGTCTATTTATTGTAATTACAAACATTTTTCTGAAATGGCTTTTATGTACTTACTAGTTTCCTTATTTTGTTATGTCCTTGGATTTGATTTTATTAATTACCTTACTAGAATTAGCATAAGTACTGTACACAAAGCTTATAAGCAATAAAGCTTATAAGCTACAAAAGGCATTGTGGGAGATGTGAGTTTTAAAAGGTTGAGAAACATAAGAGGTTAATGTTGATAAATATTAGGACTTTGACAACCAAATACGACATTTGAACCTTGAGATTGCACCAGCCCTTCCTCGGGCTTCAATGGGATGGATTAAATTCAGTACTACTTTTGAATTTTTTTTTTTTTTTTTTTTGAGATGGAGTCTCGCTCTGTCGCCAGCTGGATGCAGTGGCACGATCTCAGCTCACTGCAACCTCTGCCTCCTGGGTTCAAGTGATTCTGCTGCCTCAGCCTCCCAAGTAGCTGGGACTACAAGCATGCACCACCATGCCCGGCTAATTTTTGTATTTTTAGTAGAGATGAGATTTCACCATGTTGGCCAGGATGGTCTCAATCTCTTGACCTTGTGATCTGCCCGCCTCGGCCTCCCAAAGTGCTGGGATTACAGGTGTGAGCCACCATGCCCGGCCTACTTTTGAATTTTAGAAACAAAAATTCGTTTATCAGTTCTTGAATTCCATGTAGAGACTTCAGCTTCCTACTGAAAATGCTAGGATAGTAAATTAGTACTTTCATCTTCGGTCTCTACTCTGACATCAGCTAATTGACAGTAGACAGAATATAGCCTACATCATCATGCCGCCTCATTATTGTTATTGTTGTTTTTTGAGGAAGGACATAATCCTTTAGCCCAATGCATGTAGTCTCTTAGACAGGAGGTGAGTCCCAGTGCTGAGCTTGTGTTGCAAGGCTGGTTGTGGGTGGGTTTTCAAAGCAGCTGAGTAAACTGGATCCCTTTTTCCTCTCTCCAGGCTGAATATTACTGAAGAATGATCCTGTTCAACCTCATAGTGCCTCTACTGAATTATTCCTCTTTTAAATGGTTAATGAGCCAATAATTTTTAAATCCTACCAAAAGGAGTAAGAAAATATGCAAACACACCGTGATCAAACTTAAAGATCATTGCTATTCATCATTAATAAAAGTTGCCATTTTAGCCAAATCCCAACATTCCCTAATAGGGTATTCAGGGAACCTATCTTAGATTGTGCTTATCTAAATCTTGGAGCTTTGAGCTAGGGGAGGAGAATGTATTAGACTAAATACAAACTTTGGGGGCTTGTAAGGCAGTCTCAGAACCTACTCAGTGAGTCCTTGACTCCAGTTAATGGCACTGCCCACCAGCTGCCCCCATCATTGTGTGAAGCTTTCAAGAGCTTGGTACTTCCCAGGGCTACCAGCAGTCCTCTGTAGTCCAGAGGTGAGGTTAGATCTTCCCAATTCCCTATGAGATTTCAGGCACTAAAGCTCTATGTGGGGGAGGAAGGGGTTACAGATGCTGTAGAGAAGAAGCAAGCAAGCCACTGCAGTTGGTCATACCGAAGGGGATGGATGGCAAGACGATCCCTTGAGCAAGTGAGAAGTTATTCTCATCAGTTGCTGTGGCCACCACCTGAGGTACTCAGCTGAGTGGGCAAGGCTGAAGAAGAGGGCTGTGGAATGCAGTGTTACTGCTGGATGGGGCAGGGCAGGGCAGAGCAGTGTTGTGCCGTGCCTTCGAGCTCCTGACTACAGGGACTCCACGTCCCCACACTCAAAAAGACTCAGCTCACTCAATGAGAGAATGTAATTTATAGAATGTAAAATCAACTTTGTTGAATAATTAGTTTTATTAAAGCTGTCTCAAGTATGTGATGGCTTCATCATAGCATAAAGTGTCAAGAATTAATAACTAGCCTAGTTTAGGAAAAAGCTGCTTACTGTGGCTCTAAGAGAGTAATCATAAAATACCTTAGATAAAATTGCACTATGGAATTTTCATTTGGTATGTTTCAATTATTGGCTTGTCCACTAATACATATCTGCTTCAAAAGAAATAAATTTCATAAAATTGGCATCAATTTTAATGATACTCTTGGTGTGGAACCTCAGATATGCCCCATTGGAGACAGTCCTTTGATCATAAATTCTCCCCAACTATAAATCCTTTTATGTCTTTATTATAGATGGTATTTGTCAACTTTTTTTGTCATGCTTTCTCATTTTAAAATTTTTAGTCAAGGCCGGGTACGGTGGCTCACGCCTGTAATCCCAGCACTTTGGTTGGCCGAGACAGGCAGATCACCTGAGGTCGGGAGTTCGAGACCAGCCCACTGATGGGCTGACCAACATGGAGAAACCCCGTCTTTACTAAAAATACAAAATTAGCCAGGCATGGTGGTGCACGCCTGTAATCCCAGCTACTCGGGAGGCTGAGGCAGGAGAATCGCTTGAACCCGGGAGGCAGAGGTTGTGATAAGCCGGGATCACGCCATTGCACTCCAGCCTGGGCAACAAGAGCAAAACTCTGTCTCAAAAAAAAAAAAAAAAATCTTAGCCGAGAAGATTTTCCCAAACTTTATGTTCTGCTGTATGTGGTGGGTGTGGGGCTTAGTAGCTACAGTAAATAGATTTTTTCCAATGGCATCCTCCTACACCCAGCTGCTGATCTACAACAAGTGTTTCTGTAGGCATATTCATAGAACACTAATCCCACAAGATTTTACACAAAAAATGGTCCTGTCACCAGTCCTGTATAACGCTGGCTTGTAAATCACATCAGCAAACTAAAGGACCTAAGTATTTCAGAATCTCTGAAGCGCTTTCCCAGACTTCCTTGACGCCATGCGGTTTATCTTAATACCTGTTAACCGTGGAGCACACTTGGGCAAACAGTGGCACAGAGTCTGGAATTGCTTCAGTGATGACTTTGCTATGCTCTGTTCCTAGTTGTTTTGTGCCCTTATTTCTATCATGTCACTACTAGAAGAAAACGTACAGTGAGAACGAGCATTTCTTAAAGTCTTTAATAAGTGAAAATGGTGATGGAATAAAAGAACTGGAGAAAAGGGGAAGAAGGGTGTATGGACAGCCACCCGCCCTGGTCAGGGTCTCACAGCACCTGTGTCTGCGGGGGGCGCACAGGGTTTGCCTGGACAGGGCCCGCTGGCCCCCTTCTCAGGGCTTCACAGAGGCTTTATGACAGACTTGAGTGGCAGGCTGTGCCTAGGAAATGTGTAATCTTTAATATAATAGTAGTTTTGTGATTTTATTTGCAGTCTCTCATTTGAAGCCATTTACATTATTAATACTAGTGGCAATCCCTGGACTCTGATTCATGCATTTGGCTAATGTCTTCTATAGAGCAATCCAGGTCAGAGAAAAGTCCTGTTTGACCGGAACAGAATGGCCAGTCTGCTCTGTTCAGACCCCTCTGAATGTCACTACAAGGAATCAGCCAAAGTTCTTTTTCTGAGGAGTGGTTCAAAGTGTCCACCTGCCCTGGACCCCATTGGCACTTCTGCAGGGCAGACCATGGTGTGTTTGGGTACTGGGAATGGCCACTCCTGGCTTTCTGTTTCTGACCTTCTTTGTTAGTGCTTGGTGGTCAGGATCCTGACTGCGAGCCCCACTATCAGTGTGGCTGACGCCGCCCCCAGAGCAGCCCCACGGCGGATGACCAGCTGTTTCACTGACAGTCTGCTGGTAGGAGCTGAAAGGGTATGGGCCTCCTCTGAAGTCCTGAAGAGGCCCACATAGCACTCAGACCTTGAATACGTTGTCAGGGTAATGCCAGGGGAACTCCCAGTAGCCACTGCAGAAGCAAACAGGAGCAAACTCAGTAGGCCAGGGGTAAGTGGGAGAGCTCTGGCCTTAGAATCAGGAAGCCTATCCTAACCATCTGGCTGCATTTGTTACACCTCACAAAAGATAATGCCTATATAGTAGAAAAATACCTGCTTTATCTGCTTGACAACAAGACCAGAGGAGATGTGTGGAAAAGCATCTTAAACTGTGAATTTCACATGCAGATAATGCTTACTACTAGGATCTGATGAGGAATGTTCTTGTTAGCACTTGGCCTTGTGATGATCGATGGCTTCAAAAGCACATGGGAAACACAATTAATCGTGTCTTACTGTATTCTCTCAATACAACTTAAGCTCCCAGAGTTTTAGCTGGCTCACTACTGCCCTGATCAAGGATGAGCCCAGGATGGATGAGGTCATGGAGACCTCATCTGAATGAGCTTTGGGCCATTTGCACACACGCCTGGCACTCAGGACCAGCCCTGGGGCAGAGCTGGGGCCATCACTTCATGACATGGACATTGGGCATAAACCAGAAAGACGCTCATCTGCCTGATGGGGTAGAGAGAGGCAGATAGCAGGTCCCCCCAAAGCCAGTGAGTCAAGCCAGGCCAACTGACAAGCCAGGCTCCCCAGACTGGCAGCCGTAGGTTAAAAGTTGGCCTTCCGTCCTGAGCAGAGTTCAGTGGGGGAGATCATGAGCTTTAGCGTTCGACGGGTTGATGCTCAAATTTTATCTCTGGCCTTTATGAGTTGTGGAATGATGGGGGAAATACGTACGTTCTTTTTTTTTTGAGACAGAGTCTGTCTGTCACCCAGGCTGGAGTGCAGTGGCACAATCTTGAATCACTGCAACCTCCGCCTCTCTGGTTCAAGTGATTCTCCTGCCTCAGCCTCCTGAGTAGCTGGGACTACAGGTGCCCACCACCACGCCCAGCTGGTTTTTCTATTTTTAGTAGAGACAGGATTTCATCATGTTGGCCAGGATAGTCTTGATCTCTTGACCTTGTGATCCACCCACCTTGGCCTCCCAAAGTGCTGGGATTATAGGCGTGAGCTACTGTGCCCAGCCGGAAATATGTAAGTTCTTTCAGCCTCACTTCCTCATCTGAAAATGGGCATACATCTAGTTGCCTCTCAAGGCCAAGGACTTGATGTAGGGCCTGGTACTTGCATGCCTGTTAGACAGTAGATGTTGTTGTCTTCCCGGTGCTTAGGATATCATTTTCATAATAATGGGAAGAAAAAGAGCTTGGGCTTGTAAGCAGAGGCACAGAGGGCAGACAGGAGCAACATGCCACTGACATTTATGTGTGTACCAAAGCAGAGGCAGCCGTAACAGCACATTACCTGAAGACAGGACTGCTTTCTCAGGCCCAGGTCTGGTTGCAGTGCTGTCTGTTCTCTGCTGCTGCTGCTGCTGACCTGAGTGTTTCTTGGCCTAAAAGAGAAAGAACTTGCTTGGGTCAACCTGCCGGCAACCCTAACCATAACCCTAACCCTAACCTGCCAGCTCAGCAGTTCACTCCTTCACCACTGGCCTCACATTCTCTGCTTTTAAAACATTGCAAGGCCGGGCACGGTGGCTCACGCCTATAATCCCAGCACTTTGGGAGGCCGAGGCAGGTGGATCACGAGGTCAAGAGATCAAGACCATCCTGGTCAACATGGTGAAACTCCATCTCTACTAAAAATACAAAAATTAGCTGGACATGGTGGCACATGCCTGTAGTCCCAGCTACTCGGGAGGCTGAGGCAGGAGAATTGCTTGAACCCAGGAGGCGGAGGTTTTGGTGAGCTGAGATCGTGCCATTGTACTCCAGAGCGGGTAACAAGGGCGAAACTCCGTCTCAAAAAAAAAAAAAGATTGCAAGTTGAAGCAGTACATATGCATGTATTCATAGCTGTGGGGCCTTTAGAAAGTATCATTTTAAAGTTGGGCATGGTGGCTCATGCCTGTCATCCCAGCACTTTGGGAGGCTGAGCCGGGTGGATTGCTTGAGCTCAGGGTTCAAGACTAGCCCGGGCAATATAGTGAAACCCTGTCTCTACCAAAAATACAAAAAAATTAGCTGGGCATGGTGGTGTATGCTTGTAGTCCCAGCTACTCAGGAGGCTGAGGCAAGAGAATCTCTTGATACCAGGAGGCAAAGGTTGCAGTGAGCCGAGATCAGACCACTGCACTTCATCCTGGGCAACAGAACAATGCTCCGTCTCAAATAACTAAATAAATAAATCATTTAAAATCTCTGTTTATCCAGCGTCTTAAGTGTCAGGATGACTTTTTCTGTGCACAAAGGCAAAACCACACTCCGATAGGATTCAGGGTCTTTGAGAGAACGTTGCTTCTGTGCTCTGCTTGCAGACCGAGTTGTGCCTTTGCTGTGCCTGAGAAGCAAAGGCTGCCCTGCCCTGTTTAAAAAGGACATGAAAGAGGATGGTGGGCAGGGGGATTTTATTACCCCTTCCAAAGTTAAGGCACACGCTCGGAAGCTCATTTGGGTTCAGACTAGTTTGAGTTCTTTGCGTTTATTTGGTTTTCTGCAGATGGGGCCGTCTAAGGAAGGTTTTTGATTTTGTTTCTCTTTATAACTGCAGAGCGTGCTTTTTATACTGGCCAATTACAGTAACAGGAGTCACTGTTGAGGCTCAGGCGGTCCCTCTGTAATCCCCCACAAAACACCCACAGCTTCTACCACACTGCTGCCAAGTTCTTATGTACTCTGGGCATTTCTGGCTGAGTAGTCACTGCCTGGTGGGGTCAGGTGCAGGGTGTGTCTTGTGGCCAGGGGCAGCTGACCCACTTACTTCCTCCGCAGCAAGCTTCCAGTCCAGCCGGGCAGTATACACAACAAAGGCAGCAGTTGCCAGGGAGACAGAGGCCAGCATGCTCAGCCAGAGGCCTGGAGGAGACAAGTGATGACGGGAAGAATGTGCGACATTCTTCCGGGCCTCTCCCAGCTTCCTCACCCCACATACCCATGATTCTCATTCTGACCACAAAGGTCAGAAGGATGCCCAGTGGTAGGCCGATGACATAATACGTGATGGCATTCACAGCGGCACCAAAGGCCTGCTTCCCAGTTCCTCTCAGGACTCCGCCGTAGACACACTAGGAGGGGAGACAGAAACGGGCAAGGGGGCCGTGACGATGAGACTCAGAATAGGTGTCATATGCAGCAGGCCTTTGCTAAGCAATTCGCATGGCGTTGCTTCATTCGAATTCTCACAGCACTGGATGGACGCCGCATCTCCCTTTCTTCCCTGAGGGTGACTGTCCAAGACAGGTCAAATCACTTGTCCATGTAAGTAGCTGTGTTTCAACACAACCCCACAGCACCCAGGCTTCATCTCCACACCATATGGCCCCCCTAGAAAGTAAAGGTAGAATTCGTGGCCAGCAACCAGTTGGTCTGGGAGACTGGACTAACTTCACATGGTATGGTTGTGGTGTGTTGGTTTCCTGTGGCTACGGTAGCAAATTACTGTAAACTTAGTGGCTTAAAATAGCACAGATTTGGTCCGAGCATGGTAGCTCACGCCTGTAATCCCAACACTTTAGGAGGCTGAAGCGGGCAGATCACCTGAGGTCAAGAGTTCAAGGCCAGCCTGGCCAACATGACAAAACCCTATCTCTACTAAAAATACAAACATTAGCCAGGCGAGGTGGCACATGCCTGTAACCCCAGCTACTTGGGAGGCTGAGGCAAGAGAGTTGTTTGAACCTAGGATGCGCCACTGCACTCCAGCCTGGGCAACAGAGTGAGACTTGGTCTCAAAAAAGAAAACACACACACACACACACACACACACACACACACACACACACACACA